TCCTCAGATAGTAGCCAAGAAAGATGCGAGAACTGCTTTTGTTGATTTTCCTAGGGGTCCACATGCTACTAGATGGTTTGCGCATCTTAGTTGGACGAATACTACCAAGCATGTGTTGAAAGTTTATAGGGATGCCCTTGACTCTAAGATAGAAGAACAGGTACAATGCATATCATTTTTATTTTTTTTATAAAGATTGTAAATGTAAAGACTCATTTTATTTTTTTACTTTTTCATGTAGTTTATTTGGGAACCATATCCTGATGACTTGATTGAGAGTCTTCCTGTCTATTGTCACGCTGGACGAAACATATGGCGGGTTAGAGTTCCAATCTTTTGTTGGAATGTAGTCGAGGTTCATTTGACAGATCGTGTTATGAGACAATTTGGATTGCAACAAGCTATTCCAACTCCGTTTCCATTTGATTCCACACACTTTCGTCATGATCGTCGGGGAAGACCAAATACAAATTGGGAATTGGAACATGCACAATGGTTATCACTTTGGAACCAACGGCTCCAATATAGTTGTGATGCACCGGTCAATCATGAACCATTTCGGTATGATGACCCCTACCTTATTTGGTTTAGGCGCATTACTCGTCTTGTTATTGGTAATCCTAATCCGTGTCCTCAAAGTCAACAAGGTTATGTGCCTAATTCAACGGCATATGAAACTATGGTATGTGTCACCTCATTTAATTGTTCTTACTTAATTGATATTTATGGTACTTTTACTTAATATAAGATACTTTTGATAGTTACTAAAGCTACTAATTAATTTTATTAATGCATATATACATGTACAGTAGCATGTCTACTTTGAGAGTGGGCAATTGGATTGGTCTGTTTTAAATGCATAGGGTCTGTATGATTTGCAAATAGGTACAGGGATCTTGAACTGCATATTTGAGCTGTGGATTTTTTTGTAATGTTACCATGTTGTGAACTTTTTCTGTCAAAGGCCAAGTTTGAGTCGTGTGGTGAGATTTTTGAGTAAAAGAAGGTGTTCGTCTTCAAGTTTTGGTATCATTATTTTGGTATACATTAAAGAAAAAAATTGGATTGATTCTCGTGGTGAATAAGTGTCTTTAAATATTAAATTCTAAACTTAATTATAAATGCCTCATTTGCTCTTAGGTACGCCATATTCATTCGATGGTTGATGAAGCTAAAACACTTGGTGATAATTCATCATATGAGGCTTTATACATGTTTAGAAAAATGGTGTGGGATCAAGGTTCTGATTGTTTGAAATATGTCCATGAGGCTGATAGGGTTCATGTGTCAGCCGATTATAGAAGAGATATGGTACAACCTACCCAGTTGCATCCCCCAGTTCGTAGGCGAGGAAAAGATGGTGTTGCTGGTAGAAGAGAACGTGTTGTTGAAAGAAGACAAGCACATGTTGAAATGGATCAGGCTACAGAAAATGCCCAAGCAGTCCCAGAAGATTATCAAGCAACATCTGATTATAATATTGGTTCCATTTCAAAAGACTGCACTCATGAATTCACTCAGGCATCAAATATGACATATCAACTGTCACAAACAGATATCATGCCATATGTGATTCCACAGAATCTACAAATATCAAGCCATCCAAGTCTTTCATCACTTGAGAATGTTGTTGGTAATTATCAACCTCAAAATTTTGAGAATGTCCCAAACTTTACCTCATCGCCTGTGCCAATGATCATTGAGACCCCTGATGCCATTAATAATTTAGATGACCCGAATAATCAAGTGGACGATAATGATCCAAAGGATGCAAATGAAGGCGATGATACGAATAATCAAGATGGTGAACCATCAAGGAGAGAAAAACGTAAAATTAAACTAAAGCCTTGTGGGACAGGTAATATCTTACATTTTATTACTTTTGGCTTCACTCTCCTTTTGAATAATAGAACATTTATATTTTCTTTACAGGTGGCCACTATGCTATCCAACATGTAAAAAAAAAAAAGAGTTGTAACACCCCGTATTTAAAATAGACAAAAATGCAGATTTTGAGAAGTTGCAGGTGCAACTTACGGTCACCATCCACGGACCGTAGGTCAGACCACGGCCCGTGCTGGTGGACCGTGGTTCACCACTGCAACCCCTCCCCAGCCAGCTCAGAAAATTGGCTAAGTCCCGACTCACGGACAGACCCACGGTTCGTGGTCTGTGTTCGTGGATCGAGACTTCCCTTACCAGCCTCTGACACAAACTACGGTCGATCAGCACGGACCGTCATTCGATCCACGGTCCGTAGGTCTGACCGTAGATGAGGTTAGCAGCTAGTTAGATGAAAAAATTCTGATGGGTCAACTTCAGATGGTCATAAATTTTAGCAAAAAATGAATTATGTGTCCCATGACCTATGGTTAGATAGATAATTGAATTATCTTTCCAACGCCACCGAGTTTGCTAAATTCCGACCTCCGAGTAAAAATTTATCTTCGTTTTAGTGAAGCCCTGTCGGGCAGACTCGACCTACGGACCCAATCGACGGACCGTCGATTGATTGACGGACCGTCAGTCAGGTCCGTCAGTCACTCCGAAAGCAGCTAATTCAAGGGTCTTTTGGTCTTTTCCTATTTCATTTAACCCCTAAGATACGTCGTTTAGACCCTAAATCATGAGGTTTTAATTAGTTTAAGCCTAGAAACATAACTAGAACTTACCTTAGTCAAAATCATTAATCAAAACTTAGAAAATTAGAACGCTAAAAGGAGAAGAGAAGTCAAGAACCCTAGTTCAAGAACACAGCAAGGTTCCATCAGTTCCAGCCCCAAAATCGAAAGATTTCTCCGTGGAATTCGTCACCAGGTATGTGGGATTTCACTAGTGGGTTCCTTTCGCCCATTAGGTCCCTAGAATTCAATCAGATTCTTGATTCCATAATTATGAACAGACCTAGGGTTTCTAGAATTTGAACAGATCATCATGAGTTAGTTATTTAAATGTTCCAAATCAGATTATCATGTTATTGCTCAGTTTATCGCATGAATTTTAGAACCCTAGCTATGTATTTCTTTAGTTCTTGAATTACACATGCTAGGTCAGATATTTCAGTATTCAGTTATACATGCCTCAGTTTATGAATGCATCATTATCAGATTAATTGTTGCATTCTCAGTTTGCATGTTCAGTTCGAGCTATCCAGTATTTACAGAAATTCAGTCATAACCAGTTAACTACTTAATTCAATGGGAGTAGCATAATATCGAGTTGGACTAGGGTTTCAGCGTACCCATATAGTCCCAGAACTACGAGCCACGTAGGTGTAAGTCCCCTCTGTGGGCAACATTAGTTTAGTGATCACGCCAGTATGCCTCTATACCTCTGGCAGGGTATATTGGGTCCTCTCGATGGGGCGTATACATCGGACTCCACATTTAGCTCATGTGGTTTTATGTCGGTTATTAGTAGCTCTCACAGTTCAATCAGACTCTATTGCATTGACCACATTTACAGTTCATTCAGTATTCAGTCAGCATGTTATAAATTGGTCATTGCATTCAGTTAGCTCAGTATTCAGTATCTATATCATGTTCAGATTATTTCATTGTTTTATTGCTTTGTTCAGTTATATGCTCTTTCAGCTTTACTCTATCCTGCCTGCTCAGTACCTTTCAAGTACTGACGCATACGTGCGCTACATCTTCTCGTGATGTAGGTTCAGGTTCTCAGTATCCAGATCACGCTTAGATTGGTTCTCGATCTTCAGTTCAGCAGCATCAGTGGTGAGTCCTCATTCTTCGAGGACTAGTGACATGTTTATCTTTATCGCTTTTAGTCTTTAGTTTCAGTTTTGCTAGACCTAGTTGGGGCATGTCCCAACATTTTTAGTCAGTTTAGAGGCTTATTTCAGACATAGTTAGATTCAGCTTAGTGTTTTAAGTTTGATATTTCTTTTGTATTAAACTCTCAGATTTGATATATTCAATTATAGTATATCGGTATTCCCCATCTTTTCAAATTTATTTATGAATTAGCTTCTGCATCAGTTTATTATCTTTAGTATGCTCATGATCATGCCAGTAGGGTTAGCTTGGGATCACTTGTGGTCCTAGGTCCCGTGTCCGCATCTTGGGGGTAGCTCAGGGCGTAACAAGAGCAAAGAATAAGTAGTGAAAAATTGTAGTGCTGCTGAATATTGCAGCCACTAATGGAAATTGATGCTGGAGTTGATGACATAACAGACTAATTTTAGTATTCTAGTTGCAGTAACTTAGCATTATAATCACTGCTTGGTCTGGGTATTTACTTGCACTTTGTGAATAGAAGTATAAAGGCACCAAAATGGATGTATAAATCCGAATCTTGCCCATTGAATCTAAAAAAGTGAAGAGTTCGGTGGTAGTGTAAAGATTGGAACTTTATTTGGTTTTGTTTTGGAATCTTGAAGTTAAGAGTTTGGTGGTAGAACGTATTTGGTTTATTTTACCACTGAGTGTTTTGTATGTTCTTGTTTTGGTAGCATTTGATTGAATTGATATCCTGTTTTGTGTAGAATTGTGAGATTGATTGGATCAATGTGTGAATTGTACAAGAGTGAAAAGAAGTGTTTGAAACATTCGAGATCATTTTCAAGTGAGACATACAGAATCATGAACTTGGTCATGAATATTTGAACAACTTGAAAAATACAAATGATGCCATACAAATTAAAATGAAGCAAGATACATAATTAGAGTTATTTGAAAGTAAATATATGTATTTAGACTACCCACTTAAGTTTGATTTCGAGTTGGACATCTACGCCTATCATGCCCGATCTGTCTACACAATCCACAAGCCCGCCCATATAATGTAGGATCACGATCCATCTCATTAGGAATTCTAGCAGTCCTTGATCGATTGGGACGACGATAGAATTCATTACTTTTCATTATAAAACTCGGCGATTGCCAATATGCCTCGTGCCCAATCGGTGAGAACGACCCAAAATATGTTGTAACATAATTCTCTGTTGTGAAATGCTCGCTTACAAAATTTCTAGCTAGTGCTCACATTCTTTCAGTAACCTTCATGACATTTGAACACGGAAAGTGCAAATTTGCCCATTTTTCACAATCACATTTTTTTTCACTTAATGAAACACAGTGAGGATTACCACCAGTACCATCAATCTGTATAGATCTAACCTCATATACCCCTGTGGATATATTCCAATCATAAACAAAGTGTTTTTTTGAACCTTCATAGTTCTTTTCCCACTTCATTTTGAAACTGCTTGTCCATAATTCATTTTGCTCAACAAGTTGGTGAGTTGTTTGACATCTATAAGTATATCGTTCAACGGTTTGCTCCAATAAAAGTCTAACCATGGCAGTGACAGGCAAGCCTCGAGCTTTCTTTAGAAGTCCGTTGAAAGACTCTGAAAGATTTGTTGTCAATACTCCCCATCTTTTTCCATCATCATGGCTAACAGTCCATCTGTTCAATGGAATTCGCATGAGGTATTCATATGCTTCTCTATTTTCTTCTTGAATTTCCCACATCAAAGCTTCAAACTTCCTTACTTGATGAGCAGTAGCAGCCCTCCACATCAAATTACTGAGGTCCCTGTTTGGAAATTGAGATTGAAAGTTACTTTTAAGATGCCTTAAACAAAATCGATGAAAGGCTCGAGGCTCCTGAAATTGCCACAATTCTGATAAACTAGTCAAGATTCCTTTTGCCCTATCAGAGATAATACATATGTCTTCTCTATCCTTTATCACATGTGTACTCAGTTTCCTAAAAAACCATTTCCATGCCACTTTCGACTCCTTGTCAACAATAGCAAACGCAAGAGGAAGAATGTTATCATTTCCGTCAACTCCAACAACAATTAACAATTTTATCTCATATTTACCATACATATGAGTTCCATCTACTGAAATAACAGGACGACAAGTTTGGAATCCATCAATGCATGGCTTGAAAGCCCAAAATACAAATTTGAAAGTTTTTACCTCTGGCGAACTCATTGACTCTTCGTGTTTCTATTCCACAACTGTTCCAGGATTAGAGTATTGAAAAGCTGCAAAAAACTTAGGAAGCTCACTAAATGATTTCTGAAAATCACCATATACCAATGTAAATGCGCGTTGACGCCCAAGCCACGCTTTTCTATATGTTACTTGATGACCAAATTTTTCATGAACCTTAGAAATGACATCCACTACCAACAATTTGGGATTTTTACGTATTTGATTTAAAAACAAAGATGCAATTAAATTGGTATCTAAGTTAGTATGACTTGTTGTAAGCCCTTCAGTCTCACATCTATGATTATTAAAATACTTTCCTATCTTCCAAAGACTACCTCCAACCTTCCGACCTCGAAGAAACCATAGACAACCCAATGAATCATAAAACCTGCATCTCACAGTCCATATGCTCTTAGTTGATATTACAACCTTGAATTCTTTATTTTTGCGCAAACTCCAAATTGTCACAGCTCGTTTCAACTTAGCTTTGCTGCTAAAACACATATCTTTTTCTAAATCTTTTTTTGCATCCTCGGACCAAACAGAACAATATTTCATTTCAGATTCACGAGTAGAGATAAAAATATCTTCCTCGTTCTCCAATGTTGTAAAGTAAGGTATATCATTATTTTGTATTTCAGATATATCCTGATCAAATTGATTTTGAAGATTTACCCCACAATTATTTTGAGGTAAATCTCCAATATCTTCATCGGATTCACTTTCAATGGCTTTACTCTCTCCATCATCTTTTGAAGGTTCATCCTCCTCCGAATTTTCATCACTTCTTTGAGCATGTGCATCATTACACAAATCAAAGGTTTTCATCTTCTCTGTAGAAAAAAAAGTCAATTTCATGAAATACATAAAATGAAAATAATTAATTATTCATGCTACTAAATAGAATTAGTATCTTTTATATGAAAAGATTACTCTACCTGGTTTCATATTGGTTGTGGCTACTCTCCATATGTCTTTGACTACTCGAGCATTCAACAAATGATCGATTTTCATGTTCGTTAAGGCCTACACCAAATGATTGATGGATACCATGTGTTGCACTGTATGCATAATGGGGTTGACTGATTGTGGCAAATCCATAATTTTGAGCCAATAAATTCATATGATAACCATGTTGATCATTCATTCGAAATAGATTATCTTGATTTATTGGTCTAATCTTTATATACATCTCCAAAAGATTTATATCAATCTTGTTCAAAAATTTCTGAGGAATGGCAAAAAATTGTAGCAAAGATTGGTCATTCTCAATTTTGAACTCAATAAATCTTGTAATGTTACCTTGAAATGAGCATGGATATTTTCCAGAAATATCCAATTGAATATTTTCACCATCAGTCCCCATTTTCTCATGCAACAATTTAATTAATTCAATGTAGTTGGTCGAAATAGACATGCTTACAATCATTCTTGCACATTCGTTATATCGAAATTTATTCATTTCAGTGATTATTTCACCACCCCAATACAAAGCAATCATCACGTTATCTTCAAAATTAGCCATCAAAAATCCTACACACAAAAATAAGATGCATTATAGTTATTAAAAATATGTTTTTATAAATACATTACAACATATTGACAAGACTTACCTATTAAAATTTTGTGAGTATTGATTCAACAATGGGGCACATAAACAGAAGCTTTGTAGAAAATTATTGGAATGTGAAAAACATTCTACACCACCATTTCTTATAATGATCCGTGGTCAAATTGTAAAAGGAACACTTTAACAGTTTGTTGTTCCTGTCAGTCACGTTTTAAAGTTAAAGCGTAACATATAGTAACGTTTTATTGGCAGATCAAATCAATAAGACATCTCTAGGGCCCCGTGACATGATTCGATAGAATCGTTACTCATAGTAACGTTTTAGTCTTAAAACGTGACTCATAGTAACGACTTTAACGTCAGATTTCGTACAAAGATTCTAAGTTGGGAGACGTGATTTGATTGGATAGAATCGTTACTAGGAGTAACGTTTTACCATTAAAACGTGCTTCGTAATAACGAATTTTGGTAGAAAGATTCGAAAGTGGCAGAAATAGGCCCAGGTCATGTTATCGAGAAACTACCTCTTGTTTCTCAATAAAATCTGTTTGGCACTATATCAGACATAAGGAAGAGGAGAACAAAACTTACAAGTGGATGTAGGCAAAGAGTATTCCTTTTAAAATGTCTTTCATAATTTGAAGATTGTGGAAATTTAAAATCCATGATGATAGAATGAGAAGATGGGATCTCGAGGGCCCATCCAAATGTTGGTGTTATGATGAAAGACCTCAACAAGAGACACTAACTCATGTGTTTCTAAGATCTGATTCAGCTAACGAGACTAGTCCTATACTTTGTTGACATCTATTTACCCAAACATTTTAGACAAAATATCATGCAAATCTGTACTTTTCGATTGTATAGGCTGGTATAGACAAGTTAGTCCAAACACCAATGAATTTATATTATCTTGTGGTGCAAGAAAATATTCAAAGAAAAAAAAATTGTCCAAAGAACTAGAGGAGGAAGTAAGTATTTTGATATAGCGTATTGAGAAATTTAAAATTGTTGAGGCAAATATAATGATCATAGTTGAAAGAAATACAAAGTGAACATGTAAAAAAAATATTTGTTTAATGTTTTTATTAGTGACGTATATTTTGATGTTGTACTTATTGTCTAATTTATACTCATAATTTTGTCAGAAATTTCTTTTGCACACATGAATTTTGCGCTTAATGCAGGTACAATCTCTTTATCATTTAGTATATAAACATCAACGTAACTACCAATCAAATATTTTATCATCTTCATCAATAGAATTGTCACTGTGAAATGAAATATTGCATTCTGCTATTGATTCACTTGTAATATTGCATTCTACAAAATCAATCATATTTAACACTATAATGTAATGCAATCAATATTATATTCTACATTGATACTTATATGGATGAAGAGGATAAAGATAATTGATTGAAAAATGGTGTTTATATGCTTTAATTAATTAGATCTCAATCATTAATTTTAAACTATGACATGTGTCTCCAATCCAAGCTAGAAATTGGAGAAAATGGAGAGGAGCCGGATCCCTTTAACTTAGTACGTCTCTATATAATCAAAGAAATGTTGTAACGAGGATCATTGATGAAGTTGTCTTTTGATCTTTTTTTAGCTTTGTAAGTAATAGTTTAAAACCTCCTCTGATTTTTGTTTTTCCCTTTTTTAAAGTTTATCTACAATTTTCAGTAAATTGTTTGTAGCTATGTATTTTTCACTACAAGTTAAATTTGTTTTATATATCAAATTATTATAAAATAAATGTGACACAGAGAGCGTGCTAACATGAAAGAAAAGAAATGAGAAAAGAAAGTTTTATATACAAATTGAACTCAATTGATCATCGAAAATTCAAGTTGATAAAAGAAATGTAAAATAATTGTGTTAATTAATATTAAACGACTCGTTTTGTCGTGTTTTTTTTTTTTTTTAATTCTCAAGAAATTCAAGAAAAAACTTCTATTTCTCCATCTCTACAAGAACTAAATTGATCCACAATAGAGAAGCTCTAAAAAAAGTGAAATCTAGTTTGACACCTTATGTACAAATGTACTTTATGAATTAAAGGAGAATTTCTTAAAAAATTCACAATGACATGACTATCCAACCATATATGCTATGAATCTGAAAGATACTTACGATGCAAAAGAGTATTTTCACATAACGTTAAAATGTAAAATTTGTTTTTCACTCTATAACTCAAAGAATAGAGGGATATGTTGGCATAACGTTATTAGCAAAATTAAGAAAAATAAAAGTTGAAAGGACAAAAATCATTAGAAAGTTAAAGATTTTTCATCTTTTAAACTTGTTTTGGAACATAAATGTAGGTTGACAAAGATATAGATTCTTCCTTGAATTTGTTTTGAAAAGTCGAATACACTCTTACACTATCATGATGATATATTATACACTTGTATTACTTAATAAATAAATTTAATATCACCCTTAAAGTTGACGTGATAAAAAATTAAATATAAAATAAATACTCCTTATGACCTTAATTACTTGTCCACTTTTGAATTGACACACCTATTAAGAAAACAATGATTGACATAATGAGTTTATCATTTACCCCTATTAATTATGAAATTGATGAATTAAAAACTTAAGAGTTTCAAGAAGTTTTACATTTTTCAAAGTAATTAATTAAGGGTATAATAGGTAAAAAAAATTGTCCCTTGTCAAAATGGACAAGTAATTAGAAACAACTAAAAAAGAAAAAGTGGACAAGTAATTAGGGACGAGTAATATTTTTGAGTCTAATTTAAAGCCAAAAATAAATAAAAATGGTCTTAGTTTCCGCCCTTTTTGTTGTCCAACTTTAAGCCCTTCTCTTCATCTTCTTCACCAATTTTCAGTGAATTATACTGCATAGTAATTACCAAAAGTAATTGATGATTGTTGACTTGTTGCGGCAATGATGATTGATGGTGATAATTATAAATTGTGACTTGTGACAGTTATAGTAGTTCGGCAATGTATATTGATGAATGGTGATAACGATTATTGTGGTTATAATGATTAATGGTGATGATTATACTTAAGTAAATAATTAATTGTGATGCTACAATCGATTGGTTGTTGGAAATGAATAGTGATAATAGATAATGATGGACGATGAAAATAATTATGAATAAATGAAACTGATATTAAAATTTTGATCATTTGTACTTCAAGACTCATTAAGTTATTGTAACATTAAAATAATTTTATTTAACTTGAGTAATAATTAAGAAAAGAAAAGAATAATTAAGAAAATGAGATGGTCAAAAAAATAAAAGATATCGCCCACAGAAAAGAGAAGATCCGTGGAAGATTCCTTTGTCTTTTAGGATATACCGACGAGACAATTTTTCCTTTTGCTTAGCTGTCATCATTACTTTTTCAATTTACACGCCAACCACCTTCCTGATTACGTCAA